CAGCTCAACCTTCACCTGTCACAGTGGTACTCACTGTGCCTGACCTGGTCACATACAAAAGACAGACCTGCCCTATATGTCAATGGTGACCCGAAGAACATGACGGCAGGTGTGTTTTACTCTGTTTGACCAGCGCTAGGTCAGTCAGCATTTACAAAGCAGGTGGTCAGAAAAGGCCCTTCATATTAATAATAAAAATTCTGCCCCATAACTGCTGGATGAGTAAATAACCCAACAGATTCACCATATCTACTTGAAATCTTTTGATATATCAGTGTGGTGTTGACAACCTGATGTACCCCAGGGCCAACAAAATCAGATACTACAGATTGAAAAAGGTTAGAACAGATCTAGTGCACTGGATCCAGTTTCATAAAGGACAGGGACATTGATCCACATGTACCATTTGTAACCAACAAAGATATTCACTGTTAAAATGTGATGCCGTTCCAGTGGCAGTTTTCAGGAAATAACGGGGGTGTTTTTCTCTGCATTGTGCTAAATCATTTTGCCGTTCTAGGCTCTGAGATAATTTGACTCTATCCTCTTTTCTCCTCCCCTAGCTCATAGCACTTCTCCCTCCTTTACCCCCTCATGCTACAAACTGGCCCCCAGTGGAACGTTGACTCTGGGTGCCGCTCACACCCTGAACAACAAGAATGTCCAGACTACTCCATTTACCAGCATGAAGGGCAAATTATCTTTGTTTCGGCTATGGGGGCGAGAGCGCAGCAAAGATGAAGTGACATCACTGAACTGTACAGAGGGGGACCTGTTAAGGTGGGACATGGACAACTGGGACACGCACATGTGTGCTCCACTCCCCGATTATAGCCTGCACTGTGGTGAGCCAACAAGAAACTGGACCATCTTTCTCTGATTACTTCTACTCAAGATACCTTATTTAGGCTACATTTACCTCAGCCCCTGCCAGTTCTGCAAGTATCAACAAGCTGCCTCCCACAGTATTTTTACAACTCAGTATTCTGAGTTCACTTTCATGCAGTAAATAGTTAATCTCCTCAGACATCTAACAGCTTTTTCCTACGTTAGCCACCATGGCTGCCTTTGACATTTTAATAACTTTTTTTTTTAAACAAAATCATTTTAAAAATAGCTGATTCTGATTTATTGGGCAGAAAAGAGCAAATATCCTGGTTCAGTTGTTAATGTATCAGTTAATTTACATAAGAAATTAACAGCTACACCTTTTGCTGCTTTTGTGATTCAGATTTAAAGCAGGGCCCCGGTTTTGGTTTACATATTGAATTGTGAAGCAAATATAAAAAACATGTTCCCATTATCATTACATTTCTTTTATATTTTACAATGCATTACTGTAGAAAACACATTTAATCTAAAAATACTTTTTATACAATTTTTTTAATTGTATTCTACTGCATTTTGGTGCATTGTAACTTTTTTTCACATTATGTGTCATGTTCTCATTGTTTGATTGACAGAATGGTCCCTTTACGAAGTGAGACTGATATTCGTCATCATCCGTAATGACGCAAAAAACACCGAGCTCGACAAGGCCAGAAACATCACCTTTAACTGGGTAAAAAAAAAAACAAATATTTAAAAACAAAAAACACAAATACTGTCACAATTCAGTTGTTAAATCTGACCTGAAGATGTTCTATTCATTACACTCACTCTGGGCTGCTAATGACAATATGTGCCTAGTACAGATGTTGAAATAAGTCCAATGTCATAACTTGCATGAAAATGTATGAAAACCAGTAAAAAAAACAAGTTTTAGGTTTTATTACATGGACATTTTAGACAAACATCCAGCATTTATTTATTTGTATGGCATCATTGTCAGATTGAACTGAATGACATTGTATAGGTGTTATTGACCGTGTTCACCTGCAGTAAATCTCAGCAGCTGTAATGCCGCTCTCTGCTGTTTGTTGTTCCTGCAGCTTGAAAAGGAGCTGCCGTGCGGCGTCAAAGTACACAAACTGTCTGTGTTTGAAGAAACCAGGTAGGAGAAGATTCGAGTTTACAACACTGACTGACATGACTCCGACTATGTATTGTAATAAAGCACCACTAAATCTCACTGTGTCACATCAACTAAATCTTATTTTATAGTATATGACAGAGGGGGAACTGCTGGGCCATAACCACACTGAGTTTCTCTGATCTCTTACACAGATCCAGTGCAGAAGATAGCCTTGTAAAAACATCAAATGAACATAGGCTGGTAAGCAAGCACATGCAGGTTATTGCAGATATAGCTATATCAATACATATAAATGTATTGGTCAGAAAGTACAAACTGCAGTACAGATATAGCAAAGTTATGTTTGAGGTAGTTTAGAAATTGTGTATTCTGCATGCAGAATAGTTTTTCCACTATAGAGCACTGATGAAGGTGCATATACAATCTCTCTGTATTAATTAAAATAATTTTTAAAATGTAATGTATATTATGCAGTGAAGTAATGCATCTTTTATTTTCCAGGTGAAGTTCGCCACCCCTAATATTAACAGGTAACGTTTCAGATTTAGAACTTAATTGGTATAATCTGATCACCACTGGGCAATTATTAAATATATCTATATGCAAACATATATGTAAAAATGTTTTTTGGTGTTTATTTCCAAAACTTCCAGCAAAACCTCTTAAGACCTTTGAATTCATCACATTAAATTTAGGAATTGTTCTGATCTAAATGCTGAATGTAAATTACATAGAGCAACTGTACAACAGAGAGTAAAGTAAAGAAATTAAGAATAGATCATAACTAGGAATGGCAGTGTAGGAAGGCAACATTTTATCGGCACTTCGTATCATCCTTTCTTTCTGGTGAATTACTGGATATATTTATCACTACAGACATTTAAAAATACTTGAAATTAAACAATCTGA